ACAGAATAATTGTGATGTAATGTGCACTGGGAGAGTACAAATACCTTTAAAGCTTCCAAAATTCTACACAGCTTACATATGTTTCTGGAGACAATAGCCAACACTCAGGAAAAAAAAATGACTGCAGATGTCAGAGCAATTTTTTTGCATGAAAAATAAAAACTGCCGTGGGATATTTCATGTTTCACAGAACATAGACTGCCTTGTGGTTGAGCATCTTCTTCAAAGGATCTCACATAATAAAGTGGACCAAATTCAATTTATCTTCTGAAAAAGAATGAAGGAGTGTAGCGTTATGTGGATTCAGTCCTTGCTTTTTGAGAATTTGGGAATTTAACAGTGATGTGTATGTATCATGCTTATCCGGACACATCATATGTGGTAACTGTCTGCAGGAAAAAGAATACAAAGATATTCTTGTCCTCATGCAGTGTTCATTGATCCCTGAAATAGAACAGTGCCTGATGCTACTTTAAAGAAATCATCTTCTAAGGGTAACATAAAAGTACTTAAAAATATCTGAGTTTGCATTCATGCACTCTGTCACAATTCATGCCGGATGCCACATGAGGTTCAACTGCCAGCATCAGGATACTCCGAAAACGCGTGTGCTCTCCAGTTCTGTGCGCTCTCTTCTGCAACACTGGAGGCGGCTTTGGTCTCACTTGGGTTTCCTTGATGGCTTTCAGTTTAATTTTTACTCTGAGCATGGTAGGATGGCAGTTGTTGCATTCACTGGTCATCTCTTCAGTGGTAAACGCATGGATTCAGAAAGATCTTTGAGGCAGCCTCTCATGTCAGTTTATAAGGGGTTCCTAGTGCTCCTGAAAAACGGGAATGTCGTAGACTATGACTTAGAAATTTTGGGGAGCGTTTTTGCAGATGCTGACTCTCATGACGAAAGAGCTCTTTCATTAATTTTGGGAGAAGCTATTATATAATGTCAGTCTTTTTGGTGGGTTTGCCCATTGCTGTTGTTTTTCATCTGATCGCCACGTCTCTTTTTTCCATATATTCCTGTACAAATCTTAATCCCAATATAAATTTATTGTCACAGGCATGTGTTTTGATGTCATCCTTTTGATTCCTCCTTGTGCTGCAAAGAATCTCAATGTATATGATAAAGTAGATGGTAGCCTTTCTTATTTCCCTTGTTGGTGTTATCTCTCTCTCACACGTTTTCTTTTTCTCTCTTGTGCTTGACATCCATGTGTGTTCTAAATTTGAATTAGGAAGTGATACGCTACAGATAAAATATGTTTTGATTTTTGTATGTGAATTTGTTGGGACGAATAGTTGACGACACGATGTAGATTTTAATTTCAGATTAGGGATACTAGCAACCTAACACGAATTTGATACTGTAGCTGCTTGTTAGACCAACAACTTCCATGGATAATTCCTTTCTGTTACCTTTTCTGACTTCAGGGCTGCAGCCAGAACTATGCTGTTTCTCTTTTTTTTTCTTCAGTTGTAGTTAGTTTTCAGATCCTCCAAAACACTATGGGCACATATTTGCAAACTCAATTTCTAACCATTTAGAAAAATGTAATGAATTAGAGGCCGGAAGAAGAATGTGAAGATTTGAATGCAAATCACCAGTACATTTCTCTGCTTGCTTTTGGCACAGATTGTTTCATTTGGGTGTAGTAGAACCATCAATGATATAATTCTATTCCTGAAGATATTCTTTAGCGCCAAAAAAACCCACCCCAAAATGGCTTCCATTAATTTTCTTTTACAGACACAAGGGAAATAAATGTCAGTTTGAACAAGGAATTAAAAAGATGTTGATGTTAAATGGATCCATCTTCCATGCATGTACACACTCAGAGACAGCAACATTCCTCCTTGTTCTCAAATTTAATAAGTGTAAAGTGTGTTTCTTAAACTTTGTTGCAACTATTAAGACGTGACGACACTTCTGGAGAAGAATTTAGCTGAATTGCTGCCACATTGCTCATGAGTTAGTTTAAGCTTTTTCCTTTGGGAACGTAAACCTTTCTCCTCTTTGCTTTTCATTTTGGAATGCTATTTCATAAGCGGAGAAAGGCTTTCCTTTTCATTGACCTCTTCACTCACAACTCATCCTTACAGTCTGTTTCTGCCATGGGCCACTGGCCATGCTACACCTGAATTTCCCATTTCACCTGTGCCTTTGCCCTCATCGATGGTCTTACTTTTGGTGATCTTCCACCTGCACTAAAACTCAGCACAAATGTTTATAGAGCACGCTACTGCTAACCGGTGTAGTTTATCCCTCTTCTAAGCAGCAATACTATTGTGCCTCTAGCAAGGCGAACATTTATTTTGTAGTGATTTTTGGCTTTTTTGTGTTATTTTGGAGCATATGAAAACGTACCAACTCATCTCATCCATTATGTTCCGAATGCTCTCATTGCTGCCATCTTGTATAGATACCCCCCTATGCATTGCATCTACATAGCTTAGCAAATCTTTGTCCAGGGTGGACCGCACGCAGCCTAGGCGGGGGCCTTTCTTGCTGGGTGTATTATGACGGGGCATCAGCTCTGCCTGCCCGGGGCCACTGCCGGCCATGGCCCTGGGCCGAAGGGAAGTGCAAAACCACCAAACGGTACCGATGGGCCCGTGGCCAGGCTGCACCTACGGCCGTGCCATGTGGCCAAGGCCCACCGGGGCCGCACGGCAGGGCCG